ACAGCTCTCTGCATACTTTAAGTAAATACTCAAATACACATGTGCAGTTGTGCTAGAGTCTAACACAGTCTTATTGTGGGGATTAAATTAGTTAATATATGTAAAGACCCAGCACATTGTAAGAGCTGAGTCATTTTATATATAATTACTTCTCTATAAATTGTTGCTAGAAAGTGCATACATGAGTGTAATTGTATATTAATTATTGTTTGGTTTTACTTGTCACCCCTGGTTGGAAAGCAGTTTCTTGTCACTGAGCAGCAGATGGCGCCTGAAACATTGGGGACCTGCCCACACAGAGCCAGCAGGCCTCCTTACCTGTGTCTCTCTGGCTGGTTAGCTCACTGCCTGACGAAGTCCAGATAGCAGGTTTAATCTCCACTCAGGCAAGTTAGTTGTAGGGTCTTGAGCTAGAGCCCTAGCTCTCAGCCTACCATTTTGAAAAAGATTAATTAAAAGGAAAATTGAGTGGGACCCTGTACTTATGTCACTGCCACTCATCACCACCATGGCATAAACAGCGCATAACTCACAGCATATGGATCACAGATCTGTATTTCATTGTAAATGGTTCCACTAGACTAGAGGGATAAGACAGCAAGCCCTGAGCAAATTGGCACAAGTTGGCAGCCAGAAGACTTCAATATGCAATTAGTTCACACCTTTCCCAAGTGATACTATTGGATATGGTGCCAAATGTACCAATAATTTGGCATTGCTGTAGAGTTTGATAACATATTTCTTCAAGTCTTGCTCAGATGGATTCAGGTTCTGAGCTAGCTTATTTTGAGTTGCTAGGATTGAGGGCTGAGTAGGTGAGCAGTTAACATCTTTTGGAAGCTTTGGATTCTGTGTTGTGCATTTTATATGATTCAAATTCATAATCAACTATAACATACCTTGGAGGCATATGCTTGATACAGCTGTTGTGATGTCCTTCCCCAAGCGCTGCTGGTGCTATTCATGAGCTGCTTACCCCTCCTCCAGCCTCTGGTTGTAGAGTCCAGGTATAGGTATTCTAACCCAGTCTTTTGACTTCCCTTGTCCAGGTATTTAGGTAAC